TTATATAGTAATTTGTCCCTTGCTAAATGTCTCCTGTTTTTTTTATAGCCTTATATATGAAAAAAAGGTAGCATATGCTTTGCTTTACATAATAATTGGTGCATTTAAACTCCATTTCCAAATCACTTGAAAGGTGGGAATTAGACTGTGAATACTTTAAGGGAAGGCACTGCTTGTTATCTGTCTTTATTTCTCCCACAATGCCCAGCACAGTGCCTTGCAAATAGAAAGCACTCAATTATTGGGGAATAAAAAAGGAAATAAGGATATAGATTTCTTCCTAGGGATTTTCTAAACAATGGCACACTTACCGAATAAATCTTATTCTAATCAATACAAAGATATTTCCTTTACCATGATGTAAAAGGTCTCTATCAGCATACATTGTCAAAGAAAATTTAACTAAGGTTGGGTGGTGGTGGCCCTAGGTGTCCTAAGTTCCACTAGATAGAGGCAGGACTAATGGACATCCCATCCCTTAATCATCTTGAGGAAACACATCAGACCATCTTAGAACAAACAGATTTGATCATACGGTATGAGGATGAAAAATAAATAAATAAAAATAAAATGTGAGCTCTAGTACCAGCAACTTAATACCTAATATGTATGAAAACTGTTTAATCTTATGCAAGTAACCTAAGATTTGGGTATCTCAGTTCCATTTTTGTAAAATTAAGGTGTTGAAAAATATGAGTACCATGGTCTAGTTTAATTCTAATGATTTTTATAGTTCCACGTTTTGATTTTCTGGATGTAAAATTATATTTTAGTTTTCCAGAGCTCATGTATATGGCAAGTCAGCCAATAAACTAGAAGCTCAAAGGCCCCAAATAAATATCACTGATCATGGAAAACAGTATGATGCAGTGGTTAAAGAATGGCTTTTGGAATTAGATAGCTCAGGTCTTAACACCACTCTGCCATATTCTGGATGTACGAATTTGGGCGAGTTATTGAATTCCTGAGGCTTAGTTCTGCCCATAAAATGGAGACAAAAATAACTGTCTTCCAGGGATGTGGATGAGTGCTTAAGATAGTAAAGAACAAGTAAACTGTAGCTCTTCTCATTGTCTCAGGGGCTGTTACAAAGAACAGAAATGAATTAGAACCAGCTTCACTAAAAAATAGTTGATTAAATGGTACCAGGAGCTCTGAGGGAGCCCAGTTATCACAAGTACATATGGATGGGTCTCCTGAAAATGGGAGTAGCGATGTGTAATGCCAGGAATCAAGTCTGCTTTATCTCTGTTTCTCTCAGGTTGTACAATCTCTTCTTTCTGCTTCTCTCTGAGTATCTACTTTCTTCTCTCTGCAGATTCACTTTCTTATTTCTCTTATCCACTTGGGCTGTGGTCATTCACAGCTTTCCCTAAACGGTAGCTTCAGTTCTCAAGTCTACACGGATCTGCAGCTTGGATCTCAACAACTAACTGAATCAATTATCATGGCAACCCAGTTTCAAATTCCTGAGAGATAAAATATGATTAGATGGATTTTGAGTAGGGGTGTACTCTTGGTCCAAAGAGCTGAGAGGTCAACTAGCAAGCTGGGCTGCTTCTCTCAGTGTGATACACAGGCTCTCTCCGGGGAGGGGCTATGGGTATCTGAGTACAAGTATTGTGCACTTGACCCTTAGAAGAACCCACAAGGTGCTTGCTCTTGTTTTATAGACACAACTTAAACACATTTATCTTTTCTTTATGCATAAGTGGCAGAATGGTAGGGGGCTGGAGAAAGGGTGCTAGAGGAAGAGGCAATGATGCCATTGCCCTAAGAGAGACAGCCACACAGAGGGAGACATCCTAAAAAAATAATGAAAAGTAGATACAGGAACTCAAACATACGGAATTGTCAGACTCCATAAGGAAAGGATACACAGTTTACACTCCAGTAGGCCACAGGGCCACTATCGTCTTTAGTACAACATCAAACCTATGTGTTTAGAAATGGTGTTTTATAATAATCTAAAAACGGTTACGCTTATTTAAGAAATCAGAAAACGTTATTGAAAAGCTGTATTAAAATAGTTAAAATAAAATCTTATCCATTTAGGCAATCACCATTCATTCACTCACTCAGCAAACATTCATTGTATGTTTATTATGCTCCTGGTACTTATGAGAAATCACGAGACTCATGGAGAAGGGGAGACACACCTGTTAATCAGCGATTAAAATAGAGTGAGGTGTACTTTTGAAAAAGCATAGCTGGGGCATTAGGGGGACACACAAATTTGACAAGGGGCAGGTGCAGCAGGAATGGAACCCTGGGAGGCGGTGCTCTCTGGGGAGTGTGGGAGAAGGACAGGACGGGCATTCCAAGCAGGGGAAACAGAATACTGGGGAGCAGAGAGACATGAACTAGGCAGACCTCATCCCTTGTATCTACAATATAGACGCATGGGTGCGGTGGGGGTGGGAAGGATGGGTGTGGGGCCAGAGAAATGGGCAGGAGCCTGAGTGAAAAGGGCCTCAAGGGGTTCAACTAAGGAATTTGAACATCATCCTGAAAGCCACAGGAGGCTGGTGAATGGCTTTTAGGCAGGGGAGTGAGTTGATCAGCTTTGTGAATTACCAAGATTATTCTGGAGGGCCAAGGTGGGAAGGCTGGAGGAGGAGAGTTGGGCAGCAATCCAGGGGAGATGCAAAGAAGCAGGAATTACTTCAGAAGGCAGAGATGTCTATTTTGAGGGGTGCGAAGGAGGGAATCTGGGTGACTTGTGGATTTCCAGTGGTGCCGTTTACTGAGATTGAGAATAAGGGAAATGGGGCAGGTGTGAAGGGGGAGGGACTGAGACTGAGGGTGACTGTGAGGCTTCACATAGGAGGTGCTCCTCCAGAAGCTGGAGTAAGTTTCTAGAGAGAAGCAGAGAATTGCGGTTCATAAGCCTGGGTTTGGGGCTGATCAGCAGAAGGGTGCAAGAGCAGGAGGGGAATGGGAGAGAACATCGGCAGTGCAGGCTGCAGGCAGGAGGAGAGAGGCCTAGATGAAATCCTTTGTCTGGGAGACAAAGGAAGACAGAGAGTTTTGGGAAGGAGGGAGCGTGAAATGGGTCCCACGGCAAGAAGGGTAAAAAAAAAAAGGACAATAAGAGTGTCCAGAGCTCTGAGACAAGGGGACATTGGCAGTATTACTGAGGGCAGTTGCCCGGGTGAGGCCAAACTGGAAGCCATGTGGGAGGGCAGAGATTTGGGAAGTGAAGGCAAAGAACAGACAGCTTTCCAAGAAGGTTGACTGGAAAGGAAAGAAGAGAAACCGAGCAGATGCTAGAGGGCGGAGTGGGGATTGGGGTGGGCTTTTTACGATGGAGGAGAATTGTTCATATTAATAGGATGCTGAGAGCTGCTAGAGAGGGGAAGGGAGATACAGGGCAGAGAGAGGAAGATTGATGGAACAAGGTCTCCGAGGAGGGAGCAAGGAAGGGATCCAAGCCTGAGGTGGAGGGATTAGCCTCAGACAAGAGGAAGGCTGGCCCTTTCACCGAGATAGGAGGTGAGGAGGAAAGCATGGGGCCAGGCAGATAAGTTTGTACGTGGCAGGGGAGGAAATTGAGAGAGTCCTCGATTGATGGCCTCAATTTTCTCAGTGAAGGAGGAGGCAAGGTGATCTGCTGAGTGGAGTGGGGGAGGTGGTAGACAGGAAGTGGTTTGGGAAGGGAGAACATTTGGTGTATATTACTGCTAAGAGCAATGGGGGGCAGAGCTGGTTAGGGACACAGAAAGAATCTGGGGAGTCCTGAGCATCTGGCTGAGCTAGGAGAATATATACTTAGTATGTCTCCAACTCTCACAACGGTGGCATTTTCTCCTAAAACCTTTAAACGTCTACGCAGAGTAGCAAGAAATTAAATTGTTAACTTGAATTAGGGCTGAGTGTTTGCTGAGTGGATGTCACAGAAAAGTTAGAGGGCCAAGAAATTATAGGCTATTGAGAAGAGAGAGTTGAAGTGATGGGCTGTTAGGGCACATCACTTACTTATAGAGAAGGGCACACAATCAAATTCATTTGCTAGATCAGTCGCAAATGCAAGTGGCCAGGGCTCCACAGCCTCAATAGGTATGTGTTTTGGGAGAACAGAAAGAGTGGTGAGCTGTTGACACACAGTGATCTGCTGTCGTCTCAGATTATGGAAGTACACCTGCTATATGGGGGCTTTGAAATCGGTCACCTGAAAGTTGTTGAAGCCTTCCTTAACTTATCCATCCCCTAAACTTTCTTTCTCCAGCCTCTGAACTCACATATTCTGTTTGCAGACAGGTAGTAAAAAGAACATTAAAACCGGACCCTCAATACCAGAGTCAGGAGATCTAGGTTTTGGTCTTATTTCCCGCACCCACAAATTCTATGGCCTCGGCTACAGTGTGAGCCACCAAGCAATGGCTGGCTGGACCAGTTCAACTTGCTGAGGGACAAATTATTCTGTCTGAGCCCATCATGTGTCTACACATCCCAGTGTTGATGTAATTCCTTTGTTTCCCACCTTTCCGTGGGAGGAGGCATGGGAGCAGCAGAGAGCTTATCCTCACGCTGCTTTATTTCACTGCTGTTTGTATGACAGCTAACATCAAAAGAACCTGGAAGAGATTCTATTGAGGAAGGAAGTGATATTTTGCTTCATAAAATCTCCTAAGGCCACTTTTATTTCAACAGTCTCAAAAACATATTTTGAGAGTAGCAAGTCCAAGAAGCTTATAAATGCCACGAAAGCAAATATTCCGGGAGAAAAAAAAATAGGCCCTTTAAAATCTGAGCTTTGTCATCTGACTGAGGTCAACAGAGACAGACCAAATCAACAAGCATGACATGAAGGGCAAATTTGCAATTAAAAGAAGAATAGGGAATTATAAAGATGGATGGGCCCCGTGACACGCACGCCCAGGCCTGCCTGGCCTTGGCCTCAGATGCCAGAAATTAATGCTTTACTCTTTAGCTCTCGTCACCTTTGGCTCGGAACCGAAAGGCAAATGCATTAAAATAACAACAATTAGAACACTTACTTAGCTTGGAAGGCATTGTTGGTTCCCCTGTGGTCAAGGTCATGACACAGGCATCCCACAATCACCGCTAAAATTTCCACCTCGGTCAGAATCTCTTGAAAGCCAGCGGTCTGGGAAGAAAAGAAAATGGCAACAGTCATGACTCAGTGCGGGGAGGATAGATAAGGTTCGTCAGCTGAGTGACGGTCAGCTCTGTTTTCATACCCACATCATTTAAGGAAATGATTAACTGCCACCCCCTCGGAGGACCGTGAGTTGGGTGGTCAGTTGCACAGCCTAAGGTCCTCGCAGTGATGAATTAGCTTGCTGTCACAATGGCTCACGCTGGCACACCAGGACAAAGTTCGGACTATTTTGTTCCCTTTTGAGAGAAGGGGCGGCACCATCTAGACACAGTAGCGGTCTGGCCAAGGCCCAGAGCAAAACGTGTTTTTTGAGTCTACATTTCAATGATGTGCATCTGGTGGTAGGGGGAGAATTTGGAACTGAATGCTGTATCCACCAGATGCCACTCAAATGAAAGCGGGCCAAAGAAACCACCATGTTTGGTGGTTTTTGTTTTGTTTTGTTTTGTTTTTGGTGGGGTTTTTTTTTGCATTACAGAAGCAACTTAGAAGTACTGAAATTGTTACATAATAATATTCTGCAAGTTATCTTGTAAATACCTGAACTCATCTTAGCTTGGAGATGAAATTCATACAGATAATAAGGCAGTGCATGTCTTGAAAACTAGAATTTGGCAGAGGGTTAGACGACTGAAGTGGTAGTGTCCATTGTGTGGAATTATTTTCCTTTAGTATCCTCTGGTAGCTTGCTTGTGAAATGCACAGGTGTGGTGTGACTTCTTTTGGGAGCAGTGTGATGTTGTTGTGCAACCCAAAGCAACAATGGTTCTTTGGTTCCTGCTGTCCCTTCATCAGTTTGGAGGACGAAGCGAACCACTGAAAAAGTAGGTCTCATGCATTCTCTTGATTCAAGGCCTTCATGTCTCCCCCCTTTTCTTCTGTATGTCTCCCATTTCATTCCTTACTAACATCTTTATCACAGGGCAGGAGGAAGGGAAAGGGAGGGTTCAGATTACTTCCGTTTTCATGTGGGTTTTTTTCCCCAAATCTAGGATCACTAGCTAGTGTCTGTAAGACACTTCTCTTACAGCAATAAAACCTTTGTTTTTTAATGAATTATGGTTTTATTGCAGAAATAATTCAAGACGTTTCTGTGTTGACAATTTTATTTTCAAAAGTTGAGTTGGGTCCACTGCTACATTTGGAAATACATATAATTTCATTTGCATAGTAAATGGGAATATTAATAAATTGTCCAGAAGGGGGTGAAAAAGCCCATATCAAAGTTGTGTGCGCTCTTTCGTTTTAAAATTCAGAACTGGCTGTTGGCTTTAAGTTAATTTTATTTTACTTAAAGTATTACCTGCAATAGTTTTTAAAAATTCAAATTGTTGTAAGAGACTTAGAACCAAGAACAGTAGTCCCTCATCCTTCTCTTTTCCTGGTTCCCAAAGGCAACCAACTTTCCATTTTCTTCTTTATCTAATTTGGTAAGTATTTTCCACCACATTTCTAAATAGTATACAGTATATTATTGATAGTTATTCATCAAGTATTTATATAATCCTTCCCATGTGCCTGACACAGTCCTTTGAGCTTTAAAACTATTTAACTTAGGGATGGCCAGTTAGCTCAGGTGGTTAGAGCACAGTGCTCATAACACCAAGGTTACTGGTTCGATCCCCACATGGGCCACGGAGCTGTGCCCTCCATAACTAGATTGAAACAACTACTTGACTTGCCTGATAGGTCCTGGAAAAAACACACTGTTCCCCAAAACTATTTAACTTATTTAATTCTCATAACAGACCTGTGAGGTAGGAACTATCATCACCCCCAGGTACAGGTGGGGAAACAGGCACAGAGATGCTATGTGCCCAAGGTCTAATAGAGTGCTTTCCTGATTATCACTCTATAAATACTTTTCACTGCAAAGTCAGCTAGTATCTGAAAATTGTTTCCTTTTCTATGTAAATGTTTTCATTTCCTGGAGTTAAGATCTCTTTGAACACCTAAGTCTTCTCACATCCTACACAGCTCTGCAACCAGTCACACCTTTTATTGGATTCCTTCTTGTCCTGGGGACCCTGCTATGGATAGTTTAAGCACTCTCTTCGGTCTGGATTCTCTGCAGCCAGCTTTCTTCTCTTGGGTTTGATCTCCTATCTTCTGCATCCCAAACTGCTCCTTCTTCATTTACTCCTCAGCTTTCAGGAACTCTTCTGCCAGTGGCTTTATGAAAAAGGGTGTTAATTTTTTAACACTAGGGGAGTTCATTTTTTTGCTTTTTGAGGCTTTGCATGACTGAAAATGTCTTTAATCTATTATCCTACTGGTTTGTTAGCTTGCCTAACAATTTTAGGTTACAATGTTTTCACTCCAAATTTTGAAGGACTGCTCTATTGTTTTCTAACTTCTGAAGTTACTTTAGAGAACTATATGTCACTCTTCTTCCTAATACTTCGTTACTTGATTTTCTCTCTTTTGGAATCGTCTGTCTCTGGGGTTTGGTAATTTCACAAAGATATGCTTTGGTTTGGGACTTTTCTCCCCAGCATTTGGCTTGATTAGCTTTTTCTTCAGTACAACATTCTTGTGATCTTTTGTTGTTGTTGTTGTTAATAATTTCCTCTTCACTATTTTTTTCTGTCCTATTTGATTAGAGCTCCAACTGGTTGGACATTGGACTTTTTGTATTGATTTCCTTGTTTTCCTGTCTTTTCATTTTCATTGCCCATTTTGGCGTTCTCTCTCTTACATCCTAGAAGTAATACTATTTTTTCATTTATAAGCATTTTCTTATCTGCCGCTTCTTTTTTAATAGCATGCTATTCTTCTTTCATTAATGCATCATAATCTTTTATCTGTTGAGGATATTATAATTCCTCTGAAATTGTCTTTTGCTTCCTGATTGCTTGTTTCCTCCGAACTTTTTCTTTGTGTTTGGTGGTTTCCTCAAGTGCCCAGTATTAACAGTTCACTCACATGAGAGTAAAGCATTGCAGTGTTCACTATATACCAGTGCACAGGATGGTGTGTAGATTGTTGGGTCCTTATATCCAGCCTAAGAGAAAACTTATAAGAGTTTATTTGAGCCAAACTGTCGACAATTGCCAGGAAGCAAAATCTCAATGGATTGAGAAAATGCTCTGCAAAATGGCACTTTGCAGTTTATTTTATACATAAAATCAAAGGAGGAAGTGTCCATGAAATCCACTGGTGATAGATTAAGGGGGTGGGAGAAAGCAAAACAGGGAAATCTCTGGGATTGGATAAAAGTACATTGGAGAGACAGGTACTCCTCCCACACAGGTGGGTGCAGGATAGCTAACAGTTTGCTCTTTACACCACATAGAGATGGTAATCAGGAGACAAGCATGAGAATGAGGAATTTTGAAGTTTCCAGCTCTGGTGGGGAGGTGGGGAGGATTAAAGATGTTATTTTAGGTACAAAAAGACAAAGAACAGGCCTACTGAAAAGGCACAGATTAATTTAATGAGGAAGCTCCAGATGTGACTTCCCGCCATGGCCCACCTTAGTTAGGAATTTTTATGTTCACACCATCCTCTGTGGTTATTTTCAGTCTCCTGAGCTTGTCAGGTTTAACATGTGGCCCCTTTTCTGTCCACATTTCCTCCTTTTGGTCATAAATGAATCCGAAGGATGCACTGATGACCAACCTTTTGGTTGGATAGTGTGGTCCCACGGTGCTAGGAAGGCTCATTCTTAGGAAGTCATAGTGTCAGCGTTTGTCTCGCTGAATGTTGGACCATTGCAGGTGGGGCAACACTATAACCTTAGATGGCAGTCAATGCCGAATTATCTATTTATATTTAAAATAAAATGTGAGTAAATGGGAGGCAGTCAGATCCTATGTGTCTTTATTAAATATATTCTGGGTCATTTCTAATCTTTGAGCTATCATGATTCAAGTTTATTTTTTCTGTCAGCCTTATGTTTTTTTTTTCTTTCTTTTTTGTACCTAGTATGACATTTACAAACTAGAACCAAGAGCAAATAGTACTAAACCAGTAACACTGATTAGGAGCAGAAAATGTCCAATATTAAAAAAGTATGAGTTTGAGGAGAGCAAACATCCTAGCCATCAAGAGTGCTTTACATGTATTATTTTAATTTTTTATTATTAAGTTAATATGTTTTCCTCCCTTGTTTTACTGTTATTTGTACATTATGATAAGTTTGGCAAGATAAATGAAGACTATTATTTTATGATCTAGAAGTTCAAATTTTTCTATTGGCCAATTGTTTTCCATAGAAATGACTCCATGGGGACGATTAAGTTCAATTTCCCAATACATTGGATTTTCAGTATCAATATTATCATGGATTTTATTAACCTCAGGCAAAGTTAATTTGTCTATGATTTTAGTATTACACCATATTCTCAAAGCATTTACTATAAATCTGGTGTCATTACAATAGAAATCAGTAGGGCCGGCCGAGTGGCGGGTTGGTTAAGAGCTGGCTTAGGACACCAGAGGGCCCCGGTTCGGATCCCACATATGAGGGCCAGTGACACTGCCCTCCACAGCTAAGATGCTGAACAACAGCTCAACCTGGAG